TTTTCATTTTTTGTTAAGAAACTAAGATAACTTTTTTTGACAAATAAAATAGGATAACTTGAATTAGTTTATATTTTTCCACTGGCCTTAAGTTTCTAACAACCTATTATATATGCACCATAAAAAAACTTAGTATATGTGCTTTTAAAAAATCACACATGATGCAAAAAAACGGATATGACTGTTTCAAGTTCTTTGAAAATGCTCATTTTTATGGAAGAGAAAATGCTCATTTTTTAAACACAGAATTGATAAAAGAAAATAATCTGCGTAGTAACACGAAATTATTTTGATACCTGATTTCTTTGATACTTTTTGTCTCTCATTAAAGCTGTGTTTTAAAAATTGGCAACTATTGGATTCACAACTTCAGATTTAAAATACATACTTCGTCAAATTTTGTATTTAATTAATTACTTGATCTTATACCTCCAAATTCCAATGATGGGGCCGGGTTAAGTTTTTTCATTTTGAATGTATTTCATTTTCTTTTCTTGTGTACTGTAACTCATTTGCATCGTTAATCTGAGCATTTGGTTATCAATTTTTTTGTCAAATCAAAATTTCTTAAGGATTTCAAAACAATTTTATACCAAGATGTGAATTTAACTCACTCACTCACACATATAACCCCACAAATCACAATAAAGTTGGTGTGTTAATGAAAATTACTTGAAATGTGTGTATTTCAAAAATACAATTACCTTTGCACAAAATCAAGAAAAAAGTATTTACAAATGAAATATGTAGATTTTGGTAACAGTTAAAACACAATTGATGATTTAAAAATGATGTAATTTAGGCATTTTAGGGGTGGCCATTGACCCCCTATATAAGCTGACCTCAAACATTTGAGCCTTTGAGGGGGTCATATTCATTTTTGGGAGAACATCAACTAAAGAAATACGAACATCTTTCTCCTTTATTATGCACTTATATGTCCTTGCATTTTTTAATTAGAATTCACAAGATTTCTAAATTTTTGAAAACCTCTCTATGCATAATAACATTATGGTCTTGGTAGAACTCACCCTTCTCTAGATAAAAATACTACTCAGTTATAGGTTATGCCACTTATGCGATTATTATTGTTAGAATTTTGGGCTCATCAAGCAATACGGTTGGCCCAATACCGCCTACGAGCTTATGAGCTCATCACTAGGGGGGCAAAGAGGATAACCCAAGCATCATGGAAGGAAGCCGAACGGCTCTAAGTCCGAGCGACAAGGTAACCCCAGAAGGGGATGGGCTCCGAACCCCCCAGGGACCGTCAGTAGTAGGGAAGAACGACCCATCATAGGGCGAGCGGCACAAACCACAGACTCAACCGGGTGGTAGGGCGCTAAATAGGAATGAGCGTCCTCTTGCCTCAGGCAAACATGTGGATATCTAATGGTTTATTCCAAGCGGTGGTGGGAACCCATGATTTTTGGGGAAGGGTATTTAATGCAAGACACATCGAATCCATGGCATTAAATGCGAGTGATGGGCCAACAAGTGGATGACGAGACATTCCTGCCTACCAAGAGGCAACACATCATCATTACTCATACCGACTAAGTATTATAAATATTCTCGTAGTTATTACGACAAAGGGGTAGGTAAAATATCATCAACTAGCATTTAGTCTCTCCTATTGTTATCCAATATTGTACCGTTCAATAGTATTGTAAAGTCTTGTAATAAAATAGACCAGATACATCTCAACATTGTGATTCACACACCTCTATTCTTCTATATCTGAATCAGCCACCCATCGGAGGTATCGTGTTGGACTTCCGGTTATGGGAATAAACCTCAAAGTATATATGTTTATGGTTATGATAGTTGGATGGTAATTAATAATAAACTTGTCTTGTTAAAAAAGGTTTTTGATATAAATATTAGTGAAATAAAATTTATTTACAAAAATATGACTGAAAGTTACTACATTATAATGTCATGATCACTTAAATGTAAAAATTAAATATAAGTTACTCTGACTAAAGTTACTACTATAGTCAGTACATTTAAGAGGACATACTTTTATAGGTGACAACTCCGGTACCCTTTTAAAAATTGGGGTACCGTACCTACCATGCATTTGATTGGTCCAAACCATTCTATTCCTTTTAATTTAGATTTAATTAATTCAACTGCATCATTCCTATTGGTCCATGTGGACGAAGTTATGGTATTTTAAGGGTACCATAGAATCTACCACTTTTATAAGCAATCTGTACTTTTGTCATAAATACATAATTATTTCAAAAAATAGCTTAGATTACCCGGTCTAAGGTCTCAAAGATTAATTATATACCTTGCATTTTCTAACGTTTTTTACACAAATTATCAAACTAATGTGCAATTGTGCATTTCAATATCATATCATTATAAATAAATATGGATATCATTTGACAGTTCATTCAAATGAATCCAGCTTGTTATATTACTTGATACTCCGTATTATTTATTATCAGTTAGATAGTCAGTCCTAGATACTCCGTACATAGTATCCAAACATATAATATCCAAGTATTTACAAAGCATGTCTCTCACGTTGTTGGAATAATTGGACACCGTATGGGATAGGTGAGACAAGCTGGACTTGAGGCTCGTGACAAGATGCTCTACATTTCCTTCTTTATGCATAATAGCTCAAAATTATTGTAGCATGCGAGTACTAGTAGTTAATATAAGAAGCATATTCATTATTAGCCCTTTGCAGTTGCACTAATCCTAACATATCTTTGTGCTTTAAGAAGTTAGGTTTTCACATGAACACGTTGAAACTAGAGTAGCCATACCACTGCTGCACTACATTTCCACCCCAAATGACCGTATTAATGGGGCCTATATGTAACCCCAAATGCTCATCATCTATGTCTGATAGAGTTATGAACCATACCAATATTCTTGAGAGAAGCTAGAGCTATTGATGAGAGAGAGAGCAGTAAGGATTTGCATTGCTTTGGAATGATAGTAAGTATTCAAACACTTTAGATCAATCCCATTATAGGATATTTATAGCTATAATGATTAGACTATGACTAATAGGTGGTCTAAACATGGTTGTAGCCTGTTTGTAAGGGAAACACGTGCCCACTGATTGTGGCCTGTGGGCAATGCATGTCCTTAAAGCCGAGGAGTGTACACGATGAATCAGAAGACGGAGTGTGTCCTCACTCTGCGTAGTGTAGAAATGTGGTCAAAATCGTCAAAAGCATGTGTCTAAAGCAGAGCCAGAGGCTCATCTTCCGCCTTCGGCAGCCAGGGCAGAGGATGTGAAATGTTTGTCCTGAGGCTGGGTTTTCTTCTGCTGGTTCATATCCTAAATGTCACATTACCACGGTTCTGTAGTACAAGGATGATTGCTACTACAAGTGTAGAACTATTAGTATTATGCTAAAATATGATATATATGGCTGGCAATCAAATGGGACGTGCCATCATATGCAAATGAGACCTAATTTGGACCAAATCGTGCTCAATAGGGTCATGTTAAACTTAAAAGGCAATATACTTGATTGACCAACAAGCAAAGTTGTCATGGCGCATGGCGACAGTCATGGCGCACAGGCCTTTTCCCATGGCGATGGTGCAAATATGGCGTCGCCACGTGACAAAAAAAAACTAAAAAACGAATTATAGACACTATAATTGTATCACCTAACCACCAAAACATGATCAAACAAGTTGAATAACAACATTCTAACCAAAACATGTGAAGTTAAATATCCTATGTAGGATTGAAAGTCGAACTAAGGATCGTAAATCGTAGGATCGTAACTCGGATAGTAATATCCTGTGTGTGTATACTCCTATAACATATGTGTATGTATATAATTAAATATTAATTATAATTCATACATAATACCAAATATTTTAGGTACTTAATAACTTAAAATAATCTATTAATAATAAAATAGCTTATGTAATTCGTACATAATACCAAATATTATTTAACAAGTAACGTAGCATGCCAAATTCCAAAATTTTAATTATTCTCAATTCATATACTCCGTACTTCATAAAGTGAATATACTTCAATTATAAGTTCAAGTGTTAGTGTTAAACAAAAATACCAAGTTCTGTTAAAAAAAATACCAAGTAACCAAAGTAACTTAAACAAACTTTAGGAGTAACCGTGTTAAATCGTCTTTTGGACTGCTGAGCAAATTAAATAAAGAAAAAAAATAAATCTGGAATGCTTAATCGTCGTTTGGACTTTGGAGCAATAAACGCGCCATTGGGAAACACAGAGTCGCCAACCTGCGTCGCTTGGGAGAAGGGAGTCAGTCATCTACCGTCTGTTGGACTGCTGGAGCGCCGTTCGCTGGAGGAAACGGGCGAACTACGACCGGAAACCACCGCACCAAAGTCTCTTCGCAGAGAGAGTAGCCATGGGGATGGCGCTCAAATGGCAATGGCGCCCAAATAGCGTCGCCACTTGTAATTCATCGCCACAACCTATTTTCATGGCGCAGGGGGGTAAGCACGCCTCATGGCGCATGGCACACGCGCCATCGACAACCATGCCAACAAGGAAACCCATGTAGCTTAAAATGTGAAAAGCTGTTGTAATCAAAAGAGGGACACCTATTTGTGCTTTCACTGCAGCGAGTACAATTTGTATATAATAAAGTCTTTTGTGGACATTTCTAGCTCATCAAAGCTCCCAAAAGAACTCTGATAAAAAGTATAGAACCAATTAACCAATGAGCTAGTTAAATCAATCAAATGATTCCATACTTCGATATGATTTACCCATGTGATCGTTCATCTTGAGGAGTCGGTATGAATCATATATTTAAGAAGGTTGTAAACATAATATCAGTATATGACCAGCCATAGCCCATACTATTACAAAGCACATGTGGGCTATAGAGTTCTACTTCGAAAAGTTAAAAACTTAAAACCCATATAAGAGTGAAAAACAATTCTCAAATCCTTATTGAAGATTCATTCTTAAGGATTCATTGACTTGTTACAGAACTATTGAGGTTATTTCTTCTAACATTGTTTTCATGAACTTTTTTTTCTTGACAACTTTCATCAACTATCTATATTGAGCAAGAACTTCAGCTGGCCTTACCAAACCGATCTCGAAAATCAGTTCAACAGAAATTACTGTCATTGTTCGGTAGCCATTAGTTCCACATGTTTTACTCTATTCCTTACAAACATTCAAATAAAAAATGCAATTCCAGGAATGGATCTTAAGACTCATTAGGGGAAATTCCTAAACTTCCCGTAAATACAAAACGAAAGGGTTCATATTCTTCCATTCAAATTTGGCTATAAAAGCAAAAAAGAAACTCAAAAACAACAGTCACAGTCAAATGGACAAAGACGAGTTCCTCCAGCGTCAGCTTTGTTGATACCCAATTCCTCTTCCGTATAAATAGTGAAACCATCGCCAGTCCTCTTTTTTGGCCTTGACCCGGATACCAGCCTGTTATCATCGAATGATTTTTTGTCCTTTTTCTTAATCATAGGCTTTTTAGGCTTTCCGTGCGCGTCTCCCGCTTCGGCGGCTGTCTCGGGTGTCTTCCTCTTCCTTCCGGCAAATATCTCATCGATTTCGTTGCTGCGCTTTAGCTTTTTCGATGTCGAAGATGATGAACTCAAAGTCTTCTCCTTCACAAGATTCTCCACATCTGAAGATTTTGAATCCTTAGGTTTGTTCTTTTTAGGCATTTTCCAACTAAAACTTCCGTCAAGCGAAGATGGAATCACCATTCCGAACAATCCTTTGGTGGCAAATGTTTTAGCTTGTCAGATGGGCCAATTTTTTGCCAAAACAAGTACGAGTAAGTTTAATTTGTCCCAGACCAGAACAGACCAGATCACACTAGACCAGACCTGGATAGTTATAAAAATACAAAGAAATCAGATCAGACCAGACCAAACCAGCAAATTACAGTCCAAGTAAAAACATCCTAAGAGAAATTATATACGGATGTACTCTCTTTTTTTATTAAATATGGTCACTTAATTAAATAATAATAAATAAAAATATCTCTATTATGTAAACTATATGAATACTCTCTTTGGGTAAAATGAACTATATGTAAATCTGGTACTCACAAAGGGGTCGGGGATGCCTCACGACCATGGGGTAATTAAATGAATTGTGTTTAACAAGGCATATCTACTGTATTTAGATTCTCAGTACACATTTATTGGGCATTGTGAATTGTCTATTCGAATTAAAAGGCAGTTCATGCTATTGACCATGGGGTAATTTATCGTAGATATTCTGAGCAGCTCAAATTTTTAGTATAAATAAGAGCAATTTGATCGGTCAGGCATCCAGAGCACCACACATCATAGCTTTGGCATTCAAAATGGGAGTTGTATAGTTCTTCGAAGTTTGTCTGCGTTATAGGGGAGGGGATAAACCAGAAGTTATTTTCAATGATAAACAGGTATACCATGCATGTGTTTAAAACTCTATTCAAAAATTATGCAAATAGAATTTCATGTGATTTTTGCAGGGTTCTTCCATGATCAACAATCACCAAAATTGGCAGGAGGGGTGAGGCACTAGAAGTTGTTTAAAATGATGAAGATGTATGTTATATGCTTTAAACTCTTGAAAATTATGCAAATAGAATTTCAAGTGTGTTTTTAGTAATGCTTATCTAAGGTTGTCTATTTTGATCTATTGTCAAAACAGTTTGATAAACAAAGGTGTCATTGGAAAGATTATGGGAGTGTTTCTCAAACACATAGAACCAATGGAAATAAAAAGATTAAGGTAACTATGATAGGTAAAGCTAAGACCATTTTGGTATATAGTTATATATACTCTAGAGTTTAAATACTGCAAACTTTGAGTGAAGCGGATAGGGCATGTTTTTAAAAATAGGATTACTGTTCAGTTAACATTCAGATTACTTGATACAAAAAATAGGAAGATTCGGATCAAATGTTGGACAGTTAACAATTTATTTTAAAAACAACCTGCCAATAGTATTTAAAATCCAAAGGCAAGACTCAAAGTTTAGATATTAAGCATTACATAATATATTAAGTTATGAACAGAGTACATTAAGACCAAGTCAATCAAACTAATAAATTAAAAATCTAAAAGATAAGTACAATTTGGACTTTGGAGTACCTGGAGGCCGGCTGGAGTCCTGGAGGGAGGCAAAGGCGGACTGCCTGAGTCCAGATAAGAAGCAGGGACGGCGGAAGACGCAGGTGGGCGGGCGGCGGCGCGGCTGGTGTTCAATTCTCCGCAGGTTCAAGCTTCCATTTTCCCTATTTGCACATCGATCGCTCCTTCAACGCTCAATGCTCCGCGTAAGTCAGAAGGCCGAGAAGTGGAGAACGATCAGAAGACCAGGTTTGTTTATTGGGCTGTGGGTTGGGCGCCTGGGCTGGGAATTAAATCTCGGGCTGGGCTGAGAAATTATTTTGGGATGGGCTGACAATATAACATATACCTATACTGCTTATAAAACAAATTGGGCTGGGCTGAAGCCCACTCCTGCCCTGACAGTGGTCCGTCCCTTATTTTTGACACTCTTCTGCAGTTTGTTTTTAGTTATTCACAATGAGTTTCGCTTTAATTTTTTCTTCGAGCCTTTGACAGTGAATTAAAACCTAAGAGCTTCATGTTTTTTTTGTTTAGTTGTTGAACTAAAGTTATGCAATCTTTTTCTTATTTTTTTCTTTATAAAAATTCTTTAAATTATATCTATAACCAATTCCTATAAATTTCAATATGCGAATCTAATGTAATATGGTACTTTTGGAATATGCATTGTTATGATATTTTTAAAAATGGGCATAATAGAAGTACCAATTGAGCGCACAAATTTACAAAATGAGCATTAATATGAAAGTCATAAGTTTTTTAGTTGAGTATTAAGACATTTTTATTGAGCATCAAACATGCTCTATTAAGTTTTAAAAAAAATCAATTGAGTATCATGGCCTGTTCTCCCGTATCTATAATCAACTCCTACGTAAACTTAATGTAATACAGTGCTTTTGGAATATGCATTGACGTAACATTTTAAAATAAGCATAACATCAGTATCAAATGAGCATACATAATTTACCATATGAGAAACGATATCAAAATTATAAGCTTGGTTAGTTGAGCATCAAGACATTTTCAATGAACATCAAATCTCATCAATTGATTATCAGAAACATGCAATTGAATATCATGACTTTTGCTCAAGTGCATATAGTTTAACTCTTCTATGAATCCAATAATATAGTTTTGAAATGAGCATAAACCAGTACGAGATGAACACAAGTAACTTACAAAATGAGCATCGAAAAATTTAAAAGCTCGTTTGAATTCTCTAATATGCATAAATATGACATTTTAAAATGAGCATTACACCAACATCAATTGGGCACACATAACTTACGAAATAAGCATGCATCGATAATTCAAAAAATTCATTAAAAATCTTTGGCATGCTCAAATATTATATGAGCACACATAACTTTCGGAATGAACATTGAAAAAATTAAAATGAGCATGACACCAGTAGACATGAATATGATATTTTTAAATGAGTATTACGTCATCAATATCGATTATCGTATGAGTATATATTATTTACAAAATAAGCATAAAAAATTCAAAAATATTTAATATGCGTAAGTATTACTCCCTCCGGTCCTTATTAAAGTTCCCAGTTTGACTTCACACAGATTAAGAAAATAAATTTGACTTTACTGTAGAATGCACTGTTTGGACACTGTTTGGCACTATTTTGTTTCCTAAAATGGAAGTGTGAACTTAAATAAGGGACATCCTGAAAAGAAAAGTGAGAACTTTAATAAGGACCAGAGGGAGTATATTTTGTAATATAATCATATGAGTATATAAAACTACGTGTAACACAATGAAAAGAGCCCCACCACAAATGATTTGCACCGATCAACAAAAAGCATTGAATTTAAAAATGACAATTAATCTGCAGAATCCCAACTCGCACTAACTAGCGTAAGCCAACTACCAGACTCTTGTTTAAAAACAAAATCGGTGAGCACGGATTTGGTTAACCAAATAATCAGACATGGGGAATACAATCGCTCTATCAGACACTGCATCCAGTAAGATGCCTCGGTCGTCTTCTCCATCCTCTCTAACTCAGATCTCTGCAGCAAGATGTCCGAACCTTCAACCTTGATTTAACAAAATATTACAAAAATATCCGGCTGTACCAAGCGGTCCAAGCACACCGTACAGCCAGTTGTACGGTATATATTACCGTAAGGAATAAGGAATGTATTACATTATTTATTACTTCTCATAATATTTTAATAAAATCATAATATGATAATTATATCTTCTATCTATGTACACTTTCGTTTTCGATGTTCATGCTTTAGATTTTATTATTTTCTTATAAGTATTAATATTATAAATATTAATATTGTCATTTAGTGTTTTACCTTAAATGTTGATTTTAATATGCTGATTTATGAAAAAAATTATATTTAAAATATATATTATTAATATAATAAAGATCAAATATATGAAAAAGATATCTACAATGATCATCTACATTAACTTTGGCCAATACAGCCAGAAAAGAAACTTCAATCCCACTTTTTCTTATTATTACATAATTCAGCGGGCGAAATAAAAAATTCATATGCTTAGTGAAAAAATTAGATGATAAGCCTAATAAGGTAAAAAATGGGGCCACCAAAGGGCTCTTAGTGTTCAAAAATTCACCACCTCCTCAAGTGTCTGGTTCTTAATCTAATATTTCAGATCATAACAAAGCACTTCTTGATATTATATTTGAAAAACAAACGGTATTGTATTATTGTTAAACCATCCAAATTTAAAAAATGTGTGTCAATATTTACCTTTTATATTTGATCTTCAATTATTTTAATGTTGTTTAATTCTCTTTGACGTCCGGGACAAGAAATTCAATAGTATATTTCAACGTTGTGATGCACATAAATGTGTATAAAAAATGATGGTTGTGTTGATATTAAAATACCAAGTGACATTTTGCTCCAAAGTGATGAAGACGTTATTGCCACAATCGTGCGCAGTACGTATCCTGATTTTGAGGCTATGTCGACTGACCCCTCATTCCTAAAAGAACTTGATATTTTGGCCTCAACACTTGATGTTGTTCACTCAATTAATGAGTACATGACTGCATTGAATGTCACAGAGGAGTCCAGGACATATTTGAGTTCTGATTGCATGTGCAAATCATACTCAAATTCTGATTTTTTGGCTGATTTGCACACCGGAATTCTTGAATAAGATGTGTGCATCCGGTGTTCCAAATCATGAGTTTACTCTAAAGGTTGGTACTCCGATTATGCTTCTTAGTTCTTAGGAACATTGATCATTTTATGGGATTATGCAATGGCACGAGGTTGATTATTACAAGGTTTGGAAATCATGTTCTCGGAGCAACTTCAGATGCAAGAATATCACTCAAGTTCCAAAGAAGACAATTTCCCATCATGACGTCTACGCGATGAGAATAAACAAGAGTCAGGGTCAATCTCTAATGCATGTTGGACTTTTACTGAAAACCAGTCTTCACTCATGGTCAACTTTACGTTGCAGCGTCAAGAGTTACAAATCGCAAAGGCTTGAAAATATTGATTTGTGATGAGGGTGGCAAACAACCATACTACTAATGTTGTTTACAAAGAGGTCTTTCAGAATTTGTAGTATCACTTTATGTTGCAGCTTCTACAGTTTTACTTACCACTTCGTACTTTGAAATGTTATATATGTTTTTATTGGGTACATTTGCCTTTGCCCAAAAAATATTACGTTGGCCCGTCTTCATCTCTGTCTCAATCTCTCTTTAACTACGAACATTTAATATGTTACTTACCGCTTTATTTTGTGTCCAGTTCTTTTTGCCTTTTAATGATAAACTTCTTAATCACAAATTGGTAAATATTCATCCGCGCATCGCGCGGGTGAGAATCTAGTTTTTTGTCAAAACAGGTACGAGTAAGTTTAATTTGTCCCAGACCAGAACAGACCAGATCAGATCAGACCAGACCTGGATAGTTATAAAAATACAAAGAAATCAGATCAAACCAGACCAAACCAGCAAATTACAGTCCAAGTAAAAACATCCTAAGAGAAATTATATACGGATGTACTCTCTTTTTTTTATTAAATATGGTCACTTAATTAAATAATAATAAATAAAAATATCTCTATTAGGTAAACTATATGTATACTCTCTTTGGGTAAAATGAACTATATGTAAATTTGGTACTCACAAAGGGGTCGGGGATGCCTCACGAACGGGGTGTCATCCATTTTTTGTATGCGTATTGGGACATCATTTTCTCGTGACAACTTTACATAGGAGTCATTGTCAAGCCTTGAAAAGCTAATACTTCGGCAGTACTCAATATCATAGAGCTTATCAAGCTTACAAGCCAATTTTTTCACCAAACACGTAACTTTTGATTCCGCGCGTTGAATTCTGTAATAATTAAAAAAATATGGTTGAAGTTGCTTTTCTGACTGTGTTGGCTAAAATTGTTATAGAGAATCATTTTAGCTATTCATATATTTTTTCTTTATTTTATTAGAATAATATAATTTAAATATAATTTTTTCAAAAATCAGCAAAATCAGTCAATACAGCACTTCAGCTAAAAGATCATAAATTTCAACAAAATCAGCTAATACAACCGATTTGAATATTACCAAACGAGCTCATAGTATGTTGGACACTTATTGTGGCTATACTCACCTAGTCAGCTACAACTTTCCCTTGTTCCAAAACGTTTAATCCCAAATTCCAAAGACCCCTCACACTCCGGCCCGACAAAGCATATGGGAGTTGTAAGTCATGATAATTCAGTTAAACACAGAAGTTAAACCAGTGCCCCTTGCGTACAAGGAGCCCTACATTGAAAGGTTACTCACACACTGCTTTATAGTAGGGGGACTCGATCATGAGTCACTTGTTCCAAATTTCATCCCTGTGACTACTTGAACTACCCATACAGGCGCTACATCTTTCCGAACTTTTTTAAAGCGAAAAGTGTCCAAAAGCGATGACCCTGGGCTTTGCTTCAAAGCGAAAGCGCTAAGCGAAGCTTTCTCACAAAAAGTGATGCTTAAAAAAATTAAAGAAAATATATAACGTATACTTGTGTAAAAAATGCACAAGTAGTCATAAATGTAATTAACTATCTTAACTGTCTTAAGCCAAAGTAAATAACAGGACTTATCCCTTAACATCACAAAGATGAGGATATGGCTAGACAAATATAAGGTCACACACATGGCAGAATATTGAGTATTTTTACAGGGGAATATGATCAGAACAATGAACTAGAATGAACTAATAACTAATGGCAGACTAAAATACAATTTCTTGTAAACTGGAAATAATTAACAACATCACACACATGGCAGAACTGCAATTGAAGTATTAAACTTGACCAGTTGACCCAATTCTAGTTTACAAGACAGCTCCAGAATCGTTAAAAAAAAAACAGCTCCAGAATGGGCAGAAAGGGGAAGAATGGAAGATGATTAGAAGCATGAACTAATGACTAATAGGCTAATAGCAGACTAAGAGAAATACCTCAGATCGACAGAAAGGAGAAGTGGAGCAATTGGAAGAAGAAAGGATAATAACTCAGGTCCTCAGTGGCTCAACAGATTGGCAACCTCTCCTGGTTGTTGCGGTTCTGAAGAAGAAGACCAAGAGTCTTCGAACGAAGGAATGGGAAGTTGGGAACTATCATAACCCTAGGTAAACTAAAACTTTAAAAAAAACTTGGTCAGCTTTGACCCGTCGCTTTTCGTGAGACGCGAAGAAAAGCGAAACTTTTTGCGCAGCGGCGCTTCAGGGAAAGGCGGAAGAAAGCGAAGCTTTCTCACAGGGGTTCACTTCTGTAAAGCTTAGCGATAGACCATCGCTCACCTACGCTTCTCGCTTTTTAACGCTTTATTTCGCTTTTAATCAGTTTGCATCTTTCCCATTAACATTTGTGTGATCAAAAGAAGAGATCAAGAAAATATTCACTTTGGCATGTATGGCATTCAAAGAGTTGTGTTCAACATACAAGATCAAGTGAGGGCCTTTGAGAGAGAGTTTTGCTGCAACCAAGCATTTCCAGACAGCTTCTTTATCATATACTCCGTACTATTAATGTATCCAACTTGTCCTCAACTTCAACCGCGCATAGATATTGCAGACACACCCTCATCTTTGTTGAGGACTTGAGGCCAATAAAAATTTTAAAAACAGAATTTTTAAAAACGATGAGAAGGCGCTAAAATATTACTACTCCGTCCCATAATGGTTGTCCACTTTCAATTTGGCACGCTTATTAATAAAGTGGTTGAAAAGTAAAAGTTGTGGTTGAGATTTGAGTAGAATAAAGTGAAATGATAAGAACCACATATTTCTTGCCAAAAAAGGAAACAAGACATTCATTTTGGAACAACCAAAAAAGGAAAGTAGGACATCCAAAATGGGACGGAGGGAGTATTTGATCAGTCACATAATTCTTCGTTTTAATATAAACTCAAAACTCACATTATTTGATCTACACTACATACAAAGACATACTCTGTGCCACATTGCCATCCAAAACAGCTCAAAACTCTCCATTCAAACGAATGCTTAAGGAGACCTCTCATCTCAGCTCAAATGGGAGTTCACCCAAACAAACCCTTAAAAGAAAGACAGACCAGATGTTAGCTAGTGCAATGGGTCATGGGTGTAAACAACATCACAGTGAGTCATTAATATCATCATGAAATATACATTTTTATTTCATTTTGAATGGATGAACAACTATCCAATTGAGATTATGAAACATACAATACACATAATGTGCGAAAAAATAATTGCATGCAGTTAAATAACACTGCTGAAATATGACAAGTATGTGCTGCACATAATTTTTGCTTGTAACTCGGGAACGGCGGGAAGGCGAGAGCTTTTACACATATCTGATATTCTGCTATTTGATGTTCTCCTTTTTATTTACAACATGCAGAATCCTGCGAAAACATCAACTATATTGGCAAAACTCGATTGTAAACTTTTTTTTTTATCAAGGGTAGAAGTTCGACAAGAAGAGTTCATTCTACAAAAGAATTGTGAAGGATAATAGAAGATATATATAGTTCTATATTTTGAATAATTATTGATGTAACGAGTAGTTAATTTTAGAGACTCAGTGTATGCATGAAGTGGTGCGTGTCGTTTTAACACCAAATAAAAAAAACTAACTAGCACGTAGATAGTGAAAGTTCAGGTCGATCCCACAGAGAGTTTGGATGATTAACTACTATTTCTCAAGTTATTAAAATCAAAGATTTTTTTAATCGAAAGAAAATAAAAATGCAAAGTATGTAAAAAAAATGATTAACTAATAAGTAGAGGTTTAGATTATATAAAAAGAGATTTCCAATTCCAAGTTTTAACTCATGTAAGTTTAATCGATCATTGACAAAGGAAATTTATTCATCATAATAGTTGGCGTAGATTAATTGCAAACGCAAACTAATCTCCAATTCACCTATTATACCTAAAAGCAACAAACGCCGTCAATTAAGTCTAATTGATTCCCAATCTTAGAACAAACGTTTAAGATTCAAGGCTCAATCGCATTAATCTTTGTGAATTTTTAGCCAACACGAATAATATTTCCCAAACGGGTGAATATTCAATTCATATCTATATTTTTCTAGATGGTTCGTAAGCACCTAGTCACTACTATAATGAACCCTAATTTCAACAAATCAGACTTCAACTAGCAATAAACTCACAAGAATAGTAAATAAGTATGCATCCAAATTAACCAATCTCATGAATTCAACTGAAATTGATTCACAAAAATATAGAATACTATGGCAAATAAATCATTAAGCACAAAAATCTCACGAATTAAACTACAGAGTATTAACTTGGAATTGGAAAACTAAGATTTAGCTACTGGGAGTCATCTAGCAATGAAAACTCAATCAAATTAAACTGAAAATTGCAGAAATTAAAGATGGAAAAACTGCCCGAAGGATGATGATAGGCTTGCTGTTTTGTTTGGTCTGCGCCCCTGCTCTCTTCTCTTCTTTCTTGACTACGCTGCTCCGTTTTCTTCTTCTTTATTCCTCCCTTTTCTTGCTGCCTTTTTCTCTTCTTTCTTCATCTATTTATTGTTGCTGCAGCCGCCCTATTCGGAACGTCCATCTCTGGTCGAGAATCACTCCGTCCGTTGCTGCGATCCCGAAATCTTCTCAGCCGATCAAAACTGAAATCAGGTCCATGCTTCTCTCCTCTATTTCTTTCTTTACTTCTTGCAGTGTCTTTTTTCTTTCCTTCTTGAACGTAGCTTTACTCCTCAGGCACGTGACTTTTCAATTGTGCTGCAAATAAATAGAAAGAAAGAATCCTGACCCAACTAAATGAAAGCACGTGCAGTGGGTTTTAGATCAGACTTAGGAAACTAAATTACTAAACCTAGTCTAAAAGCTTTCAAATGCATACTAAAAAAATTGACTTTCTCCCTTTGACCTCTTATTAAAATAAAATAAATTAAGAGCCTAATTAGAAAATAAAAACACTAATCGGGACCTCTTGAATAGCTAAAAATAGCAGCAAATAAATGCCCAACAAATCCTCCCACACTTGCACTTTGCTAGTCCCTTAGCAAACAGAACAAAACCACTAGTCAATCCAGATTTTTTTGGCACCACTTGAGTCGGGCTCACCCACTCACTGTCCGAAATGGGGTATATGATTCCAACTTCTAGGAGCTTCATTACTTCTTTCTTCACCACGTCCATCATGGGAGGATTCAGCCTTCTTTGAGGCTGCCTAACGGGTTTAGCTCCATCTTCCAGAAGGATTCTATGCATGCAAATTGCTGGACTGATTCCCTTAATATCAGCAATATTCCACCCGATAGCTTCTTTGTACTCTCTCAGAACTCTTATTAATTTATCCTCTTGAGTTGGAGTAAGTTCACTTGAGAAAATCACTGGAAGAGTCTCATTTGATCCCATAAATGCATACTTCAAGTGAGAAGGCAGTGGCTTAAGTTCAACTTCAGGGGGCTGCACTATAGATGGGAAGAGTTTGGTGGTTGGGACTGGAAGATCAATATAAGATAAGTTAAATTTCCCAGATTTCACCGGGAGTGCTTCCAAGGCTGCAATCATCTCCTCAATTTCTTCTTTGGGTGCTAGTTTGAGTGCATTATATGTTTGGTTGTTAAGGCTATTTCTCAACACCAAACTCAAGCTATCGGTTGCTTCAAACTCCATCACTTGTTCAGAAATAACATCCAGCGCGTCAATGGAAAAAACAGCATGAACATCGTTGGGATAACGCATGGCCTCAAAAATATCAAAGCGCACTACATTCCCATCAAACTCCATTGTTAAAATCCCCTTGAACACATCAATCTGAGTTCTGGCCGTTCTTAGAAAAGGTCTTCCAAGCAAAAGAGGAATCGGTGTAAGGTCCAGCTCATTATCTTCCATCTTTAGCACAAAGAAGTCTGCTGGAAAAACCAGATCACCCACCTGCACCAAAACATCCTCAACCAGCCCCTCGGGATACACATTTGACCTATCAGCCAGTTGTATAATCACACCGGTTTCTATCAAGGGTCCAATGTTCAAGGCAGTATAAACCGAGTATGGCATAACATTAATAGATGCACCGAGATCACACATAGCCCTTTCGAACCTCTTGTTACCTATAGTAACAGGAATGGAAAATGAGCCTTTATCCTTGCACTTCACAGGGAGCTTCCGTTGGAGTACGGCAGAGACATTTTCATTTAGGCTTACTCTTTCATCCCCTCTAAGTTTTCTTTTATTTGTGCACAGTTCCTTCAAAAACTTTGCATACCGCGGAACTTGCTTGATTGCATCGATGAGAGGTATGTTCACTTCCACCTTCCGAAAAGTATCCCAAATATCCTTTTCCAGACTTTCTTTCTGTTTTTTAGCCAACCTTGATGGAAAAGGAGGGGAAAGAACATTAGCCGGTATGGAAGGAATCGCCTCTTTATCATTTTTCAGCTTGCAAACGAGGTCATTTGACATTGTTTTCTTCTGATCTGGCAGCTGGGATACATCTGGCTCATCATCCAGACCACTTTTAACCTCTGTTTCCTTCTCTTGGTCAAGCTGAAATGACACCTTCTTGGCTCTGTCTTCACTCAAAATCTTGCCACTACGAAGAGTGATGGCATTTGCACTTTGATTTGGGTTCATAGGCTGTGAAGGGAGCCTATTCAAGAGCTGGGACTCAAGTCTACTCATAGATGTAGCTAGCTGGCCCACCTGTGTTCTTAAATCTTGCATTCCTACTCTAGTTTCTTGCTCAAATTTCAGTTTCTCTTGCTCTAACTTCAACTGGCCGTCTACCAGCCTCTGCATCATACCCTCAAGTGTAGAGGTTGAGTTCTGATTAGGTGCTCCAGATTGAGAACTCCCTGGTCCAGGCATATGTTGCGGCTGAGATTGAAAGGCTGAGTTGTTGTTATTGCCATAGCTCAGATTCGGGTGGCTCTTCCATCCTGGATTATAGGTGTTCGAAAAAGGATCAAATCTGCGTTGTGAAGAACCGGGAAACCCCATTGCATTAGCTTCTTCCGTCTTCCCTTGAACCAATGGACATTGATCACTGAAGTGAGCATTAGAAGAGCAAACACCACACACATTTTTAGTTTGCTGCAGGTTCATTTGAGTCATCATCAAAGCAGTGAGCTGCGAAAGTTGCTGATTTGTGGCAGCAAGTTGTTGCTCAAGATTTGAACTTGCTACCTCATTCACTTGCTTAACGCCAACATCCTGGCGCATGCCGAATTGATGTGAGTTAGCAGCCATAGTATCGGTCAGTCTCCAAGCTTCAACCGGTGTTTTATCAATGAGAGCTCCTCCACTTGCAGCATCAAGCATCACTCGATCAACGGGTAGTAGGCCCTCATAAAAATACTGAATCAATTGAACTTCAGTATATTGGTGGTGAGGACAGATTTGACATAGTTTCTTAAACCTCTCCCGATATTCATACAAGGTCTCTCCAGGCGTTTGCTTGATTCCGCAAATCTCCTTCCGCAAAACAGCTGTTCGGGTGGCAGGAAAGTAGTTCTCCAAGAACATTTTCTTCATATCATTCCAAGAGGTAATACACCCGCTTGGTAGGTAATAGAGCCAATCTTTAGCTGCACCATCCAGTGAGAAGGGGAAAGCTCTCAACTTAATATGATCTTCAGGCACTCCAGTAGGCTTCATGGTGGAACAAACAACATGGAACTCCTTCAAATGCTTGTGTGGATCCTCTCCTGGCAGTCCGTGAAACTTGGGCAGAAGTTGTATTAGGCCTGACCGAAGTTCCAAGGCAGCCTCGAGCTCTGGATATTGAATGCAAAGCGGTTGATTGTCCAGGTTTGGCATTGCCAAATTCCTTATGGTGCGATTCTCATTGTTAGCCATTGCTTCACGTTCTGATGCACGAGCTCTCCTTCTTTGAGCGTTCTGTCTCCTACAAAATGATTCAATTTCAAGATTCAACGAAGCTTCAGGAGATAGGCCCTCAGTTCTTCTGGTCATGCACTATCTCAATCTGTACATAGACAAAGGCTTTAATAATAAAATCAGCACACAAAAAAAAACTAAAACTATAAATAACTTGAAAAAAAATGTTTTTTTTTTTTGAAAAAAAAACTAGTAACTTAAGAGAGTAGTAGCTAATCTACTTAACTCCCCGGCAACGGCGCCAAAAATTTGGTGCGTGTCGTTTTAACACCAAATAAAAAAAACTAACTAGCACGTAGATAGTGAAAGTTCAGGTCGATCCCACAGAGAGTTTGGATGATTAACTACTATTTCTCAAGTTATTAAAATCAAAGATTTTTTTAATCGAAAGAAAATAAAAATGCAAAGTATGTAAAAAAAATGATTAACTAATAAGTAGAGGTTTAGATTATATAAAAAGAGATTTCCAATTCCAAGTTTTAACTCATGTAAGTTTAATCGATCATTGACAAAGGAAATTTATTCATCATAATAGTTGGCGTAGATTAATTGCAAACGCAAACTAATCTCCAATTCACCTATTATACCTAAAAGCAACAAACGCCGTCAATTAAGTCTAATTGATTCCCAATCTTAGAACAAACGTTTAAGATTCAAGGCTCAATCGCATTAATCTTTGTGAATTTTTAGCCAACACGAATAATATTTCCCAAACGGGTGAATATTCAATTCATATCTATATTTTTCTAGATGGTTCGTAAGCACCTAGTCACTACTATAATGAACCCTAATTTCAACAAATCAGACTTCAACTAGCAATAAACTCACAAGAATAGTAAATAAGTATGCATCCAAATTAACCAATCTCATGAATTCAACTGAAATTGATTCACAAAAATATAGAATACTATGGCAAATAAATCATTAAGCACAAAAATCTCACGAATTAAACTACAGAGTATTAACTTGGAATTGGAAAACTAAGATTTAGCTACTGGGAGTCATCTAGCAATGAAAACTCAATCAAATTAAACTGAAAATTGCAGAAATTAAAGATGGAAAAACTGCCCGAAGGATGATGATAGGCTTGCTGTTTTGTTTGGTCTGCGCCCCTGCTCTCTTCTCTTCTTTCTTGACTACGCTGCTCCGTTTTCTTCTTCTTTATTCCTCCCTTTTCTTGCTGCCTTTTTCTCTTCTTTCTTCATCTATTTATTGTTGCTGCAGCCGCCCTATTCGGAACGTCCATCTCTGGTCGAGAATCACTCCGTCCGTTGCTGCGATCCCGAAATCTTCTCAGCCGATCAAAACTGAAATCAGGTCCATGCTTCTCTCCTCTATTTCTTTCTTTACTTCTTGCAGTGTCTTTTTTCTTTCCTTCTTGAACGTAGCTTTACTCCTCAGGCACGTGACTTTTCAATTGTGCTGCAAATAAATAGAAAGAAAGAATCCTGACCCAACTAAATGAAAGCACGTGCAGTGGGTTTTAGATCAGACTTAGGAAACTAAATTACTAAACCTAGTCTAAAAGCTTTCAAATGCATACTAAAAAAATTGACTTTCTCCCTTTGACCTCTTATTAAAATAAAATAAATTAAGAGCCTAATTAGAAAATAAAAACACTAATCGGGACCTCTTGAATAGCTAAAAATAGCAGCAAATAAATGCCCAACATGAAGCACGAAACTCTTGGGAAAGAGTATGTTTCCATTTCAGAACTCTACGAAAACTCTCTAAACACTTGTTTTTCTATTAAAAGGTGATGTTTCACGTTTCATGTTTCCCCGGGCTTCCCACATTTCCGTGCAACATTGGTATGCATTTGCAGATATTTATCACTATATCTAAAATAGAATGTCTTGTTTGAGTTGTTTGAATGGCTAAGAACTTGATCACGGAGGTTTAAACAATGTCACTTTGGAACTATGGGAGAATTCACCCCACTACCAGTAACCGCTCAAACCCCACCACATGGTGCACATGATGCGTATTGTGCCTCTTGTCTCAGAAATTAAGAGCGCCCATGAATTCCCTAATTCTCTAGTTCTTAAAATCCAAAAAGGGGCCTAAGAAATGTGAAGAATCAACACATCACAATGCAATACAGAAAAGTGATGGTGAGGAGTTTCATAAGTGAAGATGCCAGTTTCAGTATAAAGAGCATATCAAATGATTGCCTTTTTTATTAATGAATCAATTTATAAATGGCAGATGTATTATGAATGAAACCCATAGGGGCTTATTTGATATTGCGCTATTTGAGGGAAGGGGGCAGAAGGATTGTTTTTTGTTTTAGTGTTTTACTATCTATCCCATATGTGTTAGTGTTAGATCAGAAATAACTATATGATATTATGATTAGTCTGGTAATGTACTTATATATAGTTCTTTATGTTCACTTGATTTGCAACCATCTAAATGTTGAAATAACATTTAAAAAATCATCCTTTCACTTTCTTCCTCTCTGGAATCCCCAGACCAAAGTCACCAAACAAGCCTTCAAGCAAATTTTCTTGGCCACAACTTTTCCCTATTTGGGATTTCATTTCAATAAGGTTATTCAATTTTTTAAATCAAACAAATAAATTATCCAAAAAGATCTATGTAAAAGGCTTCATGTAAAATTAAAGGTGGCATGAGCGGGAAAATTTTATGGAGTTCCATATGACTCCATCATGGAACCATATGGCATATGCGGACACACCACAACCATTAATTATTTAGGTATGACTGTATGACCTTCCACTATAAAATTGAATGGTTATTGTGGAAGCACATATGTCTATGACTCCATAATAGAGTCGGATGGGGCTCTATAAAATTTTTGTTTCAAAGCACATACTACATAAAAATGTGAATAACCACTCTGCAAGTCTTTATGGTAATACTTACAATGTACACCAGAAGTTGGCATGAGAAAGCATTAGCCCATTTGCCACTGAAAACGAGAAAGAAAAACGTCAACAAATCAAATATAAAACCCAGGACTAGATGTATATTAATAAAAAGGTAATGCTAAACCACATTCATTACTGCTAAAGGTTAAACTTCAAGCAGCAGTTCCTGATGATTTTCAAAAATTAACTATACCATTGGAGACTATTTTTCATTTTTACCATTGGAGTGATCTCGCATTATTATTTCCCCTCATCTTTTTTTCTTCTTGTTCTTTATTCTTTTATCCTTATATATATCAACATTATTTTTATCCTTTTATTTTATCATTTTTAGATATATTCATCTCGATTTATATTATCTTTTTTATAATAGCTTTTTTTATCTTTATTTTCTTTCTTTTCCTTTTGGTGGTGATATCATGTATCGATTCATGTTAGCCGACCCCAATATCTTTTGGGACTAAGGCTTGGATGTTGTTGTTGTAGCATTCCAACAACAAATAATTCATCAAATGATTCCAATAATCATTAAAAAATATTGAATGCTCTTTCGAAAATCACATGAAACATTCTATCATCAATCATCATTAATGCTTAAACATATCCTTTTTCCCTAGGGGTATTGAATATCATTTGGAACAAAACATCCAAGCCTATAAATAATGCGGGTTCAGCTATTGTTATCATTTGCCTCATAAAAAACATATGAAACTAGACACAGGCGGGTCAACATTTGCAGTAGACACAGCCTGAATATGCAATTACCAAGCAGGCAAACTGAACGAGATACACAAGAAAATATTAGAAAGATAGGCGTCAGAGATCTAGTAGTATTGCAAAAATCTGAAAGAACAGTTTCAAAATAATCACAACCTTGAGAGCTGGTTCTCCCCTGTGAGTATTTGCAGTTGCTGCTTTCTGAACGGCTAGTGCAGCTCTTCCTACAGCAGAGTTTTTAAACTCATCTTGTCTGCATAAAATGGCCATTTAAAGCATATAAAAACAAATCATCCAAACTGATTAACATGGGAGAGAAGTTTAATTTCAGTTTTACGGTCAATGAAGTACAAAGATGGGATTTTTTTAGTGAAACTATTTTGGAAAAATTACAAATCTGGGTGATGACAGTTTTCCGACTTCCGCAATCCGAAGCAAATAGGAAAAAGAAGAAGGGGAAAACAGAAAGAGCGATAAAGGGATTGAGATTAGCCTTTTCTGGGCAGCTTCTGCGGCTTTTATGCGAGCGTCCGTGGTTTCCACCGGAGCTAATGTGTCTGGAACTTCGGGAGCTTCATCAGGAGGAAGTTTGTATGAAGCCGATCGTTTTCTTTCTTTCATCTTCTTTCCTCCGTCGAAGCAACCGCAGAAACCCATTGGTGAGGACTTTAGATCGTCGACGCACCCAAGGCAAATGCTTTTTAGGCTGTGTTCGCAAACGGGAAGTGTTTTAACTTAGGGCTGGTTATTACTCAAAATGAGTGGAACCGTTATGAAAGTTTTAACTAATGAAATCGGTTCGGTTCCTATATAAAAAATCAAGAACCGTTATGGAACCGAACCGATAGTAAACGGTTCGGTTCTTCCTTTTACCGGTTCCTAGAATAATTTTTTCTTGTCTAAGATTAACACATAATTTTAAACACATCGAAAATTCAAAACACGAGTATTAAAATTTTATTTGAAGCTCTAATCACTTCAAACATCAAAGCTCAAACTTAACTAATGAACTTTGAACACTTAATAGAACAAAAGTGATTTAAATTTTCATGTAATAAATGAAACATTAAAAATCGTTGTAGTGTCGGAGCAATGAAGGTTACTCGTCATCATAGTAGCAAGAATAGGACGCCTACTTCAATTCAAGTCGTTCAAAACATAATAAAAAAGACATTGAGTTTGCATGTATAGATATAAAAAAACATTATTACATTCTATTGACTCATAATAAATCTAATAATTAGAAATATCATGAAAATAGTAAAGTAAAATATGTGCAATCAACTACAAGTTATTTGGGTTATTTTATATTTATCAAATTTATGTGATGGAACAAAACTTGATTTGTAGAAAGGAGTTTAATGTATTATATCAACCTCATGTACAATATTTAACACTTCTTTTCCGTTGATTAAATTAGAATTGTTAGTTAAATATCTTATATTATTTTATTATTGTTGTTGTGGTGGTGGTTATTATTGCTATTATATTATTATTATTATTGTTATTGTTACTACTACTACTAATATTATTTTATTTTTTATTTTTTTAATAACGGTTCCATGCACATATTTTTTATAGGAACCGGGAACCGAACCGTTATAACCTGCTTCGGTTCGGTTCCTACAAATGAGACATTAATTGTTAACGGTTCGGTTCCTAGATGTTATTAACGGTTCGGTTCCAATCGGTTCTACGGTTCCCGGTTCCAAAATCCCACCCCTATTTTAACTTTTGGTTAAAACAGTGATTAATACCAAAAGTTAGGGTTGGTTTTAAAAAAGTCCAGTTTTTTACTTTAAAAAACACTTATTTTTCCAAACACTACAACTTTTATTTTTCTCGGCTTCCGCGTCAAAAGTGTTTTTACTTTTTCTATTACACAAAAAGCACTTATTTTACCAAACACTATCCACTTTTACTTTTTAAAATCACTTTTTTCTCAAACACTATCAACTTTTATTTAATCACTTCTCCACATTTCATTAAAAAAGAACTTTTTTAAAAGCATAAGCTGTTGCAAACAGAACCTTTGTAGTGTTTGAGAAAAAATGATTTTGAAAAGTAAAAGTTGGTGGTTTTTGATAAAATAAGTTCTTTTTGTGTAATAGAAAAAGTAAAAAGCAGATTCTACCTTTTAACTTTTAAGTAATTCATTTAAGTAGAAGTTGTAATTTGAAAATATCTTTTTTAGCTTTTTTAAATCAAAAGCTCGAAAGTGTTTTTTTAGTTGTGTTTGCAAATAGAGCCTTAATTTGGGGAAAGGTGCAAAATTGCAATTTGCAAATATACCTGCACAAGTATACGTGGAACAACTGATATCAGGTAAAAATATTCGCTCTTTTCAGGTAGCAAATTTTCTTTTATTGACTTTAAAAAAGAATTATAAAAAAAATAAATTATAAATTTAAATTTTGAAATTAAAAAGTACTCCCTTTGTCTCGAATTGTTAGACATTTTACACTATACGATATTTGACCGATGGTAAAGTAATCATATTCATGTTCACACTCAAATAATTTTTAAAAATAGAATTACATATTCATAAACTACATTAAAAGTTTTATATAATTAAGGAATACAAATCTTGTGTATGTAGTTGTCTTAGGTCAAAGCTAAGGTACGAAATAATCAATTTCAATGGTTATATTTAGCCACGTGGAGATGAAGAGTGTCCACTTTGACTGACAAATAAGCAAATTGTGGAGCATCAAGAGCCTTGATGAAAATATCATGTAACTGTTCACATGATGATTTATGATACGTTGAACGTGTTCCATCTAGAAATAATCTTGCATAAAGATGGAATTAGAAGCAATATTGAGCATAACCTGGCCAACACAATAGAGGTAAACATATATGTCGAATATGGAAAACACCATAAGAGTATAATAATGCCTTTAGCCATATCAATTCACATGCTAGAGGCCATAGAGTGATAATCAACTTTGGCATAAATCAGGACATTGTGGTCTGTTTTTTGCCTTTTTGGTACACCAAGAAAGAGGAAAATCACCAAGCAAAACGATTATGTGGGGTAGCTAGCTAGCCCACCCAGAGTCATAAAATCCCTAAAGATGCAAATCAGAGTAACTACGTAGGAGAGTAACTACGTAGGAAAATGTCATGTTTAGGGTGTCCTTCCAAATGTACTAAAACTCGAATAATTGTTTCCCTTTGAGCAACACATGGATTATGTAACACCGATACGAGTACGCGGAAACAGTGGCGGAGCCAGAGGTTTGTCCAAGGAGGGGCAAACTGAAGACTAAAAATTTTAAAGTGCATGTCCAAAATATAATAAGAACAACAATGGCGTAATTAATTAGCAAAAAAATTATAGTTCATTACATGCTACTTGATTTACTTTTGCAACGTAGGCAAATCAATCCTACGAGTTTCATATTTTGAAAATGCTGCATAATAGCTTCATTATCAATTGCTTGAAAAATGTCTCTTTCGATGTAGCATACTAAACAATCCGTAAGATAGTCATCGTAGATCTGTCTTGATAATATTCATCACTGAGAAAGCTCTTTCAACTGTGGCTGTTGCAACTGGTAACACTAGAGCCAACTCAATAAGACGATTGACCAAGTGAAAAGATTTGTGAATTGTAAGCTCAACCATCTTCTTAGACACTTCACCAATACTTTGTAAAGTGGAAAATGCTTCATTCCCTCTCATCTCATATATCCAAACTTGGAGTTGTTCTTTAAGCTCCATTTGCTCAACAGCTGAAAAATCAGATGAATACAACTCCGCAAGACTGAGGAGACTTCTTCCAGTTACGGAATCCGGTCCTCACAAACACATCATCACCAAATCTCTTTCCTTCTTGCCCATGAAAAAGGTAACACCAAAAACAGAAAGCAGCATCTTCAGAAATACTATATTCCAACCATTCCCAAGTTTTAAACCACTCTCCTCGAAAGCTCCTTAATGACTTTCCAAATTCAGTTCGTGGAAACTTATGAGATGCTGGTTGACAAGCACCTTTAACAACATATGCTCTCATCACATCATCCCTAACCCCCGGCGCATATTCATTAATTGGTTTTCGTAAAAATGGATCACTAATAATATCCCAATGTGTACTTTCTGTTCGGGCTCTCTTGTCCCTCTCATTCCTCTCATCTCTAGCAATATTTTCATTTGACGCAGTGGCATTTCCAACACCGGAGATAGACTGATTAGGAACAATTGAAGAATTAACACTTAATCTTAAAATAACCTTAAGTTGTACTTGTTGTTTTTAAAAAAAGAAGCCGGGGCAAGAAACATATTATAAGTAATACTAGTAAAAAAAATTGGTCGGAGCGGGGGCGCTTGCCCCCCCTTGCCCCCCCTAGCTCCTCCACTGCGCGGAAACACGGAAACGAGTATGGAGATACAACAAAGAAGTAGGATATGAATACAAGGTCATATTTATAAATATTACTCCGTAAAAATTATGGGGTGTATTTATAAATATTAAAAGTTATAGGGGTGCACTTATAAATATTAAAATACAATTTTTTTTTTGAAAAAATATACATATATTATCCTCTTACGTCTATCCATTCATGACATTGGAGCATTTTACATTTTCAAAATACTTAGAAATAAATTCATATTTTATCTCATATACACTATTGTATCTCGAAATATAAATATGGTTAATAAGTTATTAGTTTAAAACGAGAATTAAGTCAAACAACTACAATTTTGAAATTAAAAGTGCAGTTACTCAAAAGTTCTAGAATATTGAAGATAAAAAACAATATTTTAAAAGTTCTAATACGTATTTCCGCTAGAGTTATTAATTTTCAGGGATAATTAGAATTAGGGATATGAGGATGAGTAAATTAGAAATGAATGAATTAGAAATAGGCCCATTAGTTGTGTATCACATAAAAGCAATGTAAAAATTACTTTTAGCTTTTCATTTTTTAAGAATTTTATTATGTAAATTTTGGTTGTTTTTTTAAAAGTTGATACGTGTATCCGTCCGTTAGGATACGAGTATCCGAAATTTTAAAATAATTAGCTTTCGAGAGAAATAAATTGAATATAGATTAGAATAATATATGTAGTACTATAACATCTCCAATGGTAAAATGTGCACGGTGCACACGTGTCATTAGAAATGACCACATAAATATTAGTAAATAAATTTTTTCTCTCCTTATTTGAATGATTTTATACAATTTTGGTAAGTTTTTCTCCACAATGTCAAGGAGACCGTCTAGATGTTGACATTGTTGTTGACATTGCAGGAAAAAACTTACCAAAATTGTATAAAATCATTCAAATAAGGAGAAAGATAATTTATATGCTAATATATATGTGGTTATCACTCATGCCACATGTGCACCGTGCACATTATAGCATTGGAGATGCTCTAAGCATCTCGAATGGTGCTTTGTTTTCATATAAATTCTTCCTCATCTTGGTGAATAAGTTACATTTCCATATGTGCAGTTTACATTTGTATCAACATCAATTACATTGCAGTTAACATGATTTACATGTTTTATTTTCCTAAAGTTACATTTTAATTAACGCAACTTACATTTTCGAAATTTCTAAAGTTACATTTTGGATACATTCAAGTTACATATCAATTTGATAAAAGTTACATATTTTATACCGTGAGTTACATGTCAACTTTTCTTAACAAGTTACATCATGTTTACATTTGATTTACATTTTCCAAAACGCGTGTTACACCACATGATAATGCGAGTTATA